TTAAGTCCGAGGCTCACACAGTTCCTTAAGTTATGTTCGCTTATTTTAGTCCGAGGCTCATACAGTTGACTGATTGAAGTCAAGGTACCACGTTAAAGTTATTTAGTTCGTGCTCTTATCAACTTCCAGTTCGTTTGTTTAACGAGGCACAAAAACTTGGATAAAGAACAACAATGAATGAAGAAAAACATTATATTAATATTCAAAAGGGATTACAAAGGAGGGCCTCTGGCCATTATATTCAAAGAACTGAAAAGGAAAACCTAGTCTAAGCCTGGCTAGATGGCCGAGGCGCCTCAGTACTTGGGGCTTCGGCAACTTGGGCATCAGTAGTTGCTTCCTCTGCCTCAGCACTTGGGGCTTCGGCATCAGCTGCCTCATCACCCTACACCTCCTCAGCTGGGGTCTGAGGAACCTCATCCACAAATTCAGACCTGAGTTGAGTCAGATCCAAGTTGGGATACAGGTCCTCCGCCCGCTCCATCACCTCGGCATAGGCGAAGTTCCTCCAGTATGCACTGAAGCTCTTATATTCCTTAGTTGTATGGAAGTTGGCGATGTATTCCTTCACCGCCTCCTCCCCTGCAATTCGAGCCTCTTCCCTTGCATAAGAGGCATCGTCCACGTACCACTTTATTTGGCCCTCCAGATACTTATAAGCGTCTTGAGCACCTGTCAAGGAGAGATTTACCTTCTCCAGGGCCTCAGCAGTCACCTTTTGGTGCTCATTAGAGACCTCCACCTTCTTTGTTAAGGAGGCCACCTCACACTGTGACTCGTATACTTTCTTCCTTAAGGCCTCGATCTGGGCCAGTGCAGACTCAAGCTTCGCCGATTCTTCAACTTTTTGGGCCTTGGCTTCCTCAGCCTCGGCCTTAGCACCTTTCAGCTCCTCTGCGAGGGAGGCCATCTTCCCCTCCGAGGCCTGGGTCCTTGTTTGAAATTCACCAAGGGCCTCCTTGCATCCAAGTGCGAGGCCGAAATCCTGACTCTCTGGCTCACTAATGCCCTTGTCAGATCAGTGGCATCACAAGCGGAGGCGTGCAGTTGCCACCTCTCTGTCCAGAACTTGTAGAAGCTCTCAGTGGTGCTTCGGATCTCTTCCAGGAAAGCCTCCACCAAGGCCGGGGCCAGTGCCTCCTCCCTCCCAGCTAAGAAGCTCGGAGACTCCCCTTCTCACGAACCGGCTTTTGCTTCGCAGCCTCCTCCTCGGCAGCCTCCGAAGCGCGCCTAGCAGCCTCTGCTCTAGCCTCATCGGCCTCTGCCTCTCTAACCATCTCAATTTTGATGGCCTTCGAGGCGGCTGCAAGCAGCTTCGGCTCGCCAATCTGCTTTGCCTCATGGGACACAGAGGTCCCTAATTTCCCAGCCGAGTTGGAGATATGCACCAGCTTCCTCCTTTTTGTCTTCTCAGGGACCTTCTCCTTCCCCCGAAGCTCCTTCGACTTCTCCTGCCTCTGAGGTGTTGTCTCCTCCGAAGCCCGCGGAGTACAGTCCTTGGACAGGCGTTCAACCCTGCCTCGGACTTCCTTCGCCCCACTGGAGCCCAGTTTCAGAGGCCTCGCCTTCACAATAGAAGTGGCCTTGAGAATGGAAGCCATATCTAGAGCTGGGTACTCCCTCTCCTTGAATTTATCTGCACAATACATTAGGTCAGCATCAGTATCAGAACAAAAGGACAAGAAAATTGTAACTTTGGGAGCTTCGTACCTCTGGATGCCATCAGCTCAAAGTCCAGAAAATAGCGACTCCTGTCAATCAAGTGGTTGAAGTGGCGAAGCTTCAGAGGCCTCTTGTAGATGTCCTCTATTACCTCAAACTCCTCGCGGCTGAGCTCGAACCTCATACTACTCTCTGCAAAGGAAGTCCCAACAGTTAGACAAATTCAAACCTTTGCTTCAGAAAACATGTAGGGTCTGGGAGACTCACGAGCTTCGTAGTACTGGGTCGGCACGGTGCAAGTAAGGGCTTTGTCCCCCTCCACTGCTTGCCACTTACCTCGCACCCAGAACCAAGACTCCTTCCACCCCTTGATAGAGGAAGGAAGTCCCACCACAAAAGGTGCGTGAGCCCCCCAAGGCGTGAGGTAGTACCACCCCCTAGACTCCTTCCCAATTACCCGAGGCTGGAACGGGGTCATAAATACATGGAGAAGCATATCCTCCCCAAGTGACACTTCCTTCCACAGAAAATACGAGTCGACTAGCTGGCTCCACCCATTCGGCAGAACCTGGGTCGGCGACAACATGAAGTTCCTAAGCACCGCCCTGAAGAAGGGGTGCAGAGGTAGACGCGTACCTGCCTTGAACAGGTATTCACTGACGGCCACGCAGCCGGGCCTCGGATAGCAGGCCCGCTCGTTCGGCTCGGGGACTAACATTTCTATGGAATGGGGAACACTATACCTCTCCCTAAGTTCCCCCAACCTCTTCCACGTCATGTTCGAAGGTACCCTAGACGCCCCCCACTCCTGGGTATAATCTACAGGCTCCTCGGCCATGGCATACCTATCCACATCGGACTCTCCCATCTGACCGACCCCATAGTCTAAAGACACCTCTGTCACTAGCTCCCTACCCGAAGTGGACTCCATTTTTTCAGTAAAAATATAGTAAGATGGTATTTTCTGCAAAAAAATACCTAAGGAAATTTGACACAAATGGAGATTGGCCGGAAATTGAAATTACAGTCAACCTCGACGCCGGAAATATTTGAAGATTTAAGAGAATATCAGAGTGCAAGTGTTCGAAAATCCTGAAAAATGGGATTTCCTCACCTTTTATAGAGGTCCAGGACGAACCCCGGCCGTTAGATCGAATCTCACTCAATCTAAGCCCTCAATTTCAGATCCAATTCGAGGCGTTGAATTCAAAGGGTTTTTCAATCCTACACCTCAGATTCATGCGTGTCTCCCACTCACCTCTTCCAGTGCGTCTGCTTCTAGAAGCGCCAGCCGCCCTCATAATTGCGTTTTTAATACAACGGCCGCAGGCACCTTGGAAGTCGTAACGATTCAGCCACTTTTTCTCGAAAACAAGCACGACATCAAATCATTGGCTCAGCTATCAAGGCACAATCATTACCATTGGACCTCAGCTTCCTCCATCATTCAGCAACAAGCCTCGCAGGTTCGGTTCCTCAACCACCTCGGCCTCCCCCATCATTCAGCAACGAGTCTCGCAGGTTCGGTTCCTCAACCACCTCGGCCTCCCCCATCATTCATCAATAAGCCTCGCAGGTTCGGTTCCTCAACCACCTCGGCTTCTCCCCCATCATTCAGCAACAAGCCTCGCAGGTTTGGTTCCTCAACCACCTCGGCTTCCTCCCCCATCATTCAGCAACAAGCCTCGTAGGTTCAATTCCTCAACCACCTCGCCTACTTCATCGCTCACCCACAGCAACACTTCTCTAACTCCAACCATGATATAAATACCTATACTTGGACTTGGGGGACTATTGTTGCGTGTTGTCACAACTAGCCAACCTACCTGGGACAATGGTCCACTCATGGCGATCCACGTGGCATTCCTGCCGAGGTGGGCTACATCTGAACTGCTTCGAGCCGAAGTCTATCTGCTAAGGCTCCTTTTTGTCCGAGGCCCATTGACCGAGGCCTACGAACCGAAGCTAGGCTGCTGAAACCTGTTGAGAGCAGCTGAGGCCCTCAAGTGGAAGTATCATGACAAATGGCCGAAGCCCCGAAGCTGATGCACGAACCTCTGAACCACAAGGAAACATCCTCCACGGTCACTTCTCCCAAGAGATCGCCAGCACAGATCTTATTCGAATAATTGATGGAACGTTTGTCATAAGCATAAAGGTCAAGTCTTGTCACTAGCATGGAGGCCCTGCACAAGCAATAAATGCGCCGCAAGCTAGCAAGTCAAGCCCCATACCTAGGAAAAGATGTTTGAACTGAAGAGATGAGACCACGTGCCACTTCATCCAAGGGCTCCCATTTCATATGTACTACTATAAATACTTCTCTTATATAATGTCAAAAGGCTAATGCAAGAATCAATACAAAGAACTACATTTCATTCAACTCTCTCTCATTTCACTGGCAATACACAAATCGAGTTTATACACATTTATATACACACTTATGAAGATCGGTTGGTAATTATTGTACAATCGGATTACGAACAACCCGCTGGATTCCGAACGTCACCGTCCAGCGTTGTTGGGCTACTCCCACGCCCTTTGAACCGCTCGTTTTAAACCGTCCATGTGTTTTAGCGTGTTGGACATTCGCCCACGTGAGCACGGGTGGGACCGACATCTGTTGGCGCACTTTTTGGGGTCAACAAGACCCACACAAGAAATATGAAGTCAAATATAGTAATTCGTGTAATGGATCAAAGAATGGAAAACAAATGAGACCTAAATATTAAAATATGGTAGGTTCAATTTTTTTTTTCTAACTGCTCAAAAATCTAATAAGGTTGTAAGTATAAAAAAAATTTAATAGAACTTGTACAGATGCTAATTTGACAAAATGTAAGTTGATTGTGTGTTTTTTTGCCCTTTTTGCCTATGTTTCAATGATGTAGCGTGATATGTTGTATGTAAACTTTTCCTGTCAAAAAATTTCATGCTTATAACATGATGGTCAAATAGGGATGTAAACGAGTCGCGTCGAGTCGATTCGTGAGCCTAAAGTTTTAGCTCGAGCTCGGCCCGGTTAAAATGGTCGAGTTTTTTTTGCGGGCTCGAGTCGGGCCGAGCAAAAGCTCGATAAAATAAAGGCTCGACCCGAGCTTTTACCCGAACTTTTTTCAGATCAAGCCGGGCAAACTCGTTTTCTCCCCTCTTCCCCCCCCCCCCCCCCCCCTTTCCTCATATCGTAATCAAACCCCCCGTAACTTTTGCTGCCAAGGCAGCCTCAAATATCCCTAACGTGGCCTACTGGAATACAAATTCAAAAGATTGATCCGAAGATACGAAAATGGGCCACGCGTCCACCTAGCAGGAATTACTTACTAGAACCTTCCAAATAAAAGTCGGTCAAATTTAATTTTATTTCTATTTTTAAAAATATTTTGCACTTAAAAACTTTCCTCTGGATTACAAAGAAATTAATTCGCTATATATGTAGTAATTTTTCACCCCTCCGAATAAGTTCCATCTGCAATACACTTGCACTAAATTCTTTAAGCATACTTGTCGTCTCGCTGGTAACTATTCTTTTTCCTCGCTATTTTTGGGTATAATTAGATTTTTTTTTCCGATAATACGATAAGGAAGTTGTGTATATTTACTAGTTGTCTGGTTTATGTAATCTGTGGAAGTTTTTGTTAATTTTTATTATTATTCATGAATCGTTATGCTACTTGACATGTATTACTATGTTCAGCTTTTTTTTTTTTTTTAATTTTCGGTTTAGTTTGGTTTCGTTATAATATTCATTCGTTCTTTATTTAGGGTTCGATCGTCGGATATTTAAAGGGCATTTATTTATTTATTTATTATTATTTATTTTTATTTTTTTTGGTGTTCAGTTGTCGTGATTGTTCGGATGTTTATGTTTAATTTGATTTTGTAGTTGTTTATTTTTGTAATTTTTGATAATTTTGCCTTAGAAAGTTTTTAAGGGTTTTGAAAATCTGCGTTTGGCATGAGTTTGTTTGGGCAACATAACATCTCAATTTATTAGTTGATCGTAGTGAAACATGGAACACGAGCCCTAAAATGGGAGGGAAAAAGAAATGATTTTAACTTTTTGGATTAAGAATGGATCTTTATTGACCTGACAAAATTTTTGGAGTTTGACACTATAAGATATATTAGTGTTTTTAAATGGAATTATTACGAGGCTTGATTCAGAGATTGGGAATTGTTGTGTAGAAAGATGAAGAACAAAGAAAATATATAGTTAAAATAAGCATATTTTGTTGAATGACGTGATTCAGGTGAATTAGTGTAAATACATCTTTCGAATCTCGTTCTCATATTCATTTCTTTCTGATGTTCCTTCTCATGACTGGCAGTAGCGGGCTTTCTATAATTACCATTTATCCGCTGATCATCTTCTAGCACTGAGGAAACACAATGTATCTGAACTCTGGAAATGAAATGCAGATTAGTCATATTGTCTAGATACTCTTGTATTTCATGAGTTCAATTATTTTATTATTTTTTATTTTTTTCCCCAGTGGTGTTAGTAATGCATTTTGACAAGAGACAAAGAGATTGCAAGGACTGTTAAATTATTCATTTTTGTCAAGCACTTGATGTTTGTGAAATGAATTCAAGATGCTATGCTACTCTGTGCTGCATTTTGTGAACAAATATGTCCTAGGGTTGCATATACGAACTTGGCGCTTTTAAAAAGCCCTCAGGATTGGAGTTGATGCTCCTTCATCCATAGCATGAGTAGTTAAAGCAAGTGGATGATTTGAAATTTGAGTTATTCCATTGTTTAATACTCTTATATTTGTTTTATAATGGTGCCTCAAAATCCAAAATTTTTTGAAGTTTCAATGTTTTTCCTTTTTTCTTACTATTAAATTGGTAAAATAGAGTCTGCCTTGTTTTTATTTACGGGTACAGTTGCACATGGAATGTTGTATGGCTTTGTAAGGATTTTGATGGTAAAAATGTAAAGCAGAAAATGTGCATTATGATGAAATTGTTGTGAGAGCTGACATTTTTCTTATTGCTAAAGGTTTTTCTAGAATTGTTCTTTGATATTTGTAAGTTGTCATTTTAATTTGCAGGCAATTAGCAACTAGAAAATGGAAGGAGGCAGGGACCCTTTCTTTGGTTTTGGTAACCCTTTTGGTAGTTTCGGTGGTTTTGGAGGTCAAAGAAGCCTAATGTCAAGCTTTTTCGGCGGGAAAGACCCATTTGATGATCCCTTCTTCACGCGCCCATTTGGCAACATGTTTGAGTCAAACTTATTTGGTTCCATTGGCAGTCCATTTATGGATCAGCATGCTCCTGGATTTCTTGAACATCAGCCACCACAACCCAATAGATCAAATGGACCAATTATTGAAGAGTTGAACTCTGATGATGAAAATGAAGGAAGCGAAAGTGGAAAGAACGTGAATAATAATCCAAGAAAGCATGAGAGGTCTAGCAACGAGCCTTTCATTGAGGATCCAGACGATGAAGCTTCTGGTGAGGTTTTTTCTTTTTTTTCTTCTTATTTTTATTTATTTAGCTTTAGGGGATTTGGTGACGCTAGATACACTAGGAGAATTGCAGGAGAAGGGGGTAAGGGGGAAAAGAAGAGAAAGGAGGGGGAAAGGAGAGAAGAAGAGGGACATAAGGGAGAAAATATCAAATTTTATTCATTCCAAGGTTGCTTTATTACAATGCAAAAGAGCTATATAGGGTTTGAAATATTCTATCTTAAGAAGGAAAATATCTAATAAAAGCAACTAAATTAAATTTAATTATATTTCCTAAAATACGACTTAAAATTTGAAGCTAAACATAATAACATTCCTTCTAATATTGTATCATTTGGTTTCCACATTACATTGATCTTTGGAGTGTTAGATTAACGTGGGTCGATGTATTATCATTTCAGAGAAAAAAAGTAAGCAAATGGCTCCCAGAAATGATTTTTACCAGATACAAAATGTAAGGCCGCGGCCCCAAAATAGCAGCTTTACTTTCCAGAGCTCCTCTGTTACTTACGGTGGTGCAAATGGTGCTTATTACTCTTCATCTAGAGCAAGGAGGACGGGTAGTGATGGAGTAAGTAAAATTCAAGTTAAAAGTGATTCTCTTTTTAAATTTCTGTTGGGCTTGCTTGTTTAATTTAGCTCTATATATATTTGGTGATCCACAGTTAACAATGGAAGAACGTAAAGAAGCTAATTCATCTACAGGTCGAGCAGCTCACACTCTGTCGAGGGGGATTCATGAGAAGGTATCATCTCTGGTCCTTTGATGTTGATCATGTCTCATTCTTCCACATATGAATCTGAGTTATTAATTTATATATATTTTATCTACAATGCTTGAGGTAAATAAATTAATTGTGCTGTTATAGGGTCATTCTGTGACAAGAAATCTGAACTCAGATGGTAGGGTGGACACAATGCAAACCCTACATAATCTTAATGAAGGTATGTATTGCTATTATTTGATTTTTTTGTGTAATTGTCAATTCATTGTCAACTAATTTTTCCCCCCTCTATTAGATGAACTTGTCGGTTTTGAAGAAGTCTGGAAAGGAAAAGCTAGACAACATCCTGGCTGGAGCGAAGGATTCAATATGCAAGGTGTTACGGGTATGCAATCTCTTAACTTCTAAACGATTGGATATGTTGTTTTATGGGGTGGATCCCCTTGTTACTGCTGCTATGATATTTCATCATTATTTTGTTGACGCTCTTTGCCTGAAAAATTTGTTGGTCTGTTCTTAAATAAATTATTTTCATTTGGTTTCTGGTACTGAGAGATGTATATTGTGAACTGGGCAGTGAAAAGAATGAAATCCGTATTTTAATTAATTAGGTAGATAAAATAATAAGCAAAAGGAAAGAAAATTGCATATGTACTGAAATAGTGACGTGAGGGTCACTGATACTGCAGGCAGTTATGCTGTGGCAGACGGGCAATTGCCTTGTTCCAGCAATATATTGTAGTAAAAAGTAGGGTTTCTTTATATATGTATATTGTTTTTTATATCTATTGTTTGGCTCTAGTATATGGTAGGACATCAGAACGTAGATATTTTCATGTACTTCATGATTGTGAAATTTATCCTAATTAAACCTCTTCTTTTGGGTTATAATTACATGACCTTGGTATTATATTCGCTTTCACCAGTAAACATTTCGGATATCAGCTCCTGTTGGTAATTTTTAGAATAACAGTCTCTCTTCAATAAACTATTAGCACTGTGTGGAATGTGTTTCTCTAATTCTCTCTCTCTTGGCCTATTGGATGACAAAATGTCAAATATCTATTTTTTGAATAAAGCTCTTTTGCCAGAAAATATTTGACACTTTGGTTGACATACGTGTGTGTGAACCGCGTGAATAAAAAATGCTAAAAGAAGTGCTCCTCCCACCCTATTGTGAGTGCGCTATCAGGGAGGGTGTCAAACGCTCCTTGGCAGCATAGCCTGATTGTAATTTTTTTATCCACTTGGATGCTAGTGAAATATATCTTAATTAAACCTCTTCCTTTTGTATCTAATCACTTATTTTTGTTATTAAGCCATGTTTGGGAAGTGTTTATAATCAGTTTAAATCATAAATAGATGTATATTGAATGGTGAGAGTGGATACTAAACGTGATTATAAATTAAACACTTGCCAAACTAGCTTTATTTCCTTCCACAGAACATCCTTAGGATCTGTCATCATTGGTACCTGTTCGATTTTAAATATAAGTAGAGAGGAGAAAATGGTTAACACCATATCTTTATTTGGTGTGGGTTGATCCCTGCTTTATTTTGCTCAATTGTGTAGTTTCTAATTTATCGGCTCGAAGTGCAATGATATTAAAATGCTCTTTTATAACCTTATCAACTAAAGTAACCTTTTTGATTCTGTGAAATACTAAGGATCTGGAAGCAGTGGTCAGCATGGGCCAAACAGGGGAGGTTGGGCGCTTCCTTCAACTCAAAGCTCAAACAACACAGGCAGCACAAATCCAAGCATGAGACATGGGGTGGGTCCTCCTCGTTCACAACAATCAGGAAGGATTGGTTCATCACGGGGTAGAACAAGAGTTCCTGGTGCCAATGGTGTAGATCCAACTATGAGGCGTTAGGATACTCAAGATGATGCTTTTCTTTGAAGTTCTTGAAATGTGATGCATGCGTGTTGATCTCTCGAGTCCCCCTTTTCTGCGCACATTATAGTTTTCTTTGCATTTGACGCTGCATGATATATTTCAGGGAAGTAGCCTTGCACGTTTTGTAGTTCTTGATTTGTGCCATTGACATTGCATATGTACTACTGGTGACTTTTTTGCATTACATCTATGGATGCCCCAATTTACAGTGTCCTCAGGATCCTTAAAAGAATTTTATTATGGTGTTATTTTTTCAGTTGTGCTATTACAGAATTATTTACCACTAGGTGGGTTACAAAATTTTAACATTTGAAATTAAGTTGTTAAATCTAAAGTTTTGGTTCTAAACATGAACCGAATCGTAAATGTGGATAGGATCAAATGTATAGAAGTTTTTACGTTCGATGGCAAAATAAGCCTTCAAAAGAATTTCTATTCAGCGGAAAGCCTTTTACGAGTTTACCGTCCCAACCCAAATTTTCCTTTTAGACTCCTTATTTGGTGAGGACTAAAATTAAAATTTTGGACTAAAATTAAAATTGGTATATTTTGATAAAAGTTGATAGAAATATATAATTGAAAAGATGTGGAATTACGAAATATATAGTTAAAGTGATTGTTGACTTTGATTTAGAAATTAAAATATGAATTTAAATCAGTACAACATAGGAATAGTATACAAAGACTAGTCTGGCATTGCTTGTATATGTCTGAACATCAACCGAGGGTAGTTTTGCTTAATCTAAATATGAATAATTCTCCGTCCCGGGTTGGGGTAACGGGTTGGGGACAGGGAGGAAGACAAGAGCGCCACACCGGCTCCCCTCCAATAGGGGGGCGCATGTGGCGCCCTTCTCCTTGACCCTGTTCCCAACCCGGGACAGGGAGCAAGGTTCTCTAAATATTCTCTCACATTTTCTCAAACCTGTACAGAAAACCAAACTAAGAAAAAGAACAAAAAAAATGTTGTAACCAAGCACACATGACACATCACATCTCTCTCTTCAGAATTCACTTCCGGATGACGAACTCTTCACCGGACTGTCGATCAATACGTTTGATCCACCGTCTCTCACCCTTCCCGGAGGCAGTGCCTTCACCTCTTGCCCCCACATGTGCAATATCCAACCCCCTCCCCACCGGTAGAAACATGGACCGCACAATCCTCGACTCACCATCAACGACACTTCGCCACCTAAAATCCGATGCTGCTCTTGAATTCGCATTCTTGCATATCAGCACAGCACCCCTTTGGCCAAGTTTGGCCACCCGGAGGATTCTTGCAAATTCGTTCCGCCGGCTGTCCACCACCAAGAAATCAATGCCCTCTAAATTTTCCACCACCTCCTCGACCTCGGCCTTGCCAACGACGACTTGGGACGACATGCGGGACTTTTCCATGGCTGCAACGTACTCCACCCTTGATTCTTCATCAGGGACTATGCAAATATGCCTTCCGCCGCCGTGGCGGCTTGCAACAGCAAGACCGATACTCGTCGCAATTGCCCCTCCCCGCGACCATGTTTCAACTATTAGCTTTGCTTTCCACCCGGCTGCCATGGCTGAAATAAGTTCTGCTACGCCTGATTCTTTGTAAAGTTCACACTACAGGTACAGAAACACCATAAATTAGCACTAGAAAATGATTCAACTAAAAGAAAAAAATAAAAATAAAAAAGGAGCCAACAACGAGAGATACTGATCCAATATGACTTCACACTACAATTTACCGACCCATTAAGACCAGCTTCAACGTGTTTATTAGGCATATTTCTGCGACGAATTCCGTCAGTAATTGCCAACGGAATAATTTTTCCACAGATCTTCTGTCGGCCGAAGAATTTTGGACATCAACGACCAAAAAATCCATGGCTAGGCTAGTCCCGCAACATGAGTTTAGTAGTTAAACTTACTGATTTTACGGTGTCGAAATAAGCCTTTGAGGCAGTATCTGGAGACCAAACTAGCTTCATCTTCTCCTGTTTTTCTTGTTCTTGATCCTTTCGTGTTCTTCAAGTTATACTTTTCTTCAATGTTGAAATGCCAAAAGATGCATTGGGATGTGTATTTAAATGGAACTAACACGTCTTGGAAAAGTTGTTGTCAATTCATCCACCTAAATCCAACGTGGGGATATATATTAGAATGCATTTCATATTTATGTAAATTCTAAATATTTTGTTATTAAGTTAAGTAGACACTAATTAATTAAATATTTAATTTGACTTGAATTTGGTTTGATTAATTAAACACAAGAATTTCGGGGTATTTTTAACTAAGATTTTGATGGATTATAAATTTTAATGAATTTCGTGAATTTAAATAAATTTTCACAAATCCATAAGAATCCCATCAAATAGGGTTAAATTTGAAAATATTTAATTATACATATTTTAAACTTGAAATCCATTCAAATGTTTTAAAATTTATCTATTAATGAAATCTTTATAAATCTACTAATTATTGTAGATGCTTGAATTTTAAAGAATTTCATTGGATGCCACTAAAATCTGAATTGGAAACATTTAAAATTCATTAAAGTTTTAATTGAGAACACTCGAATTTTTAGAAGGATTTTTAAAATTTATCACAATCTCAATTAAGGACGCACCATTAATGTATTTGTTAAGAGTCTTATTGACTAAACATTTGGACCAGAAGCCAAGTTTGAACAATCTCTAGGTGATAGACTTCAATTCAAATTCTAGATTAAAATACATATACACATTAAAATATAACTATGAGGTTTTTTGAAAAATGCTTTTGATGAAAATTTTAAAACGTAAATTAATAAAAATTGATGAAATTTTCAGTTAAAAGGATAAAAGTTATGGATCTCATGAAATGTTTAATTAAAATTGCTCACACTAATTTTAACATTTTAACAATTCTTTAAGCTTTCACAAATAAGTACTATTTGGTAGGAATCAAAATCAAAATTTTTAGTAGATTTTGATAAAAAAAAAAAAATTAAAAATTAAAAAAATTAATGAAATATGTGATTAAAATGTTGTGAATCTCATAAAATATGTAATTAAAATTAACTATTGACTTTGAATTATTTTAAAATTTACTTGTAATATTATTAATCCCTATCAAATTGAAGCTATATATTATTTGAACCGAAAAAGTTTTAGGTCTATTCATCCTTTGTGCAAGATCACACATTCGTAAACTTCCTCATTTATCACTAATCTTCATTTAGGAGCCTCAACTCACTTGACGATTAAATTTATTCCCAACATTTCGCTAATCGACCTAGATTCTTTTTATTTTGAGGCCCCCATTTGGTTCCCATTTTTTCTCATTAAAATGAAATATATGATCGTTATTCGTCACATCAAGCCAACAAATTTGAATTTCTATATCTTATGTGGGTCCGTGACGGCTATATTTTTCGTTCTTATTTTTACAAAAATAAGAAACAAACGGGGCCTAGTATTTCTATTGATTTTGCAGCTTGTGGAAATGGTGCTTTATTCCCATCAACTATGAGAGGACCCATTCGTATTAGATCTGAGCAGTATTTATTCCTTGTCATATCGATCTTAGCAAAATAGAAAATTAACAAAATTTCAACTAAGGGTCCAATTGATACATATTTTGTGAAAAGTGAATTTGCGCAAAGTATGAAAAAAAATATGATTAAGTTATTTTAAATTGATAGAATATGTGATTAAAAATGATTTTGAAAAAATATAAATAAATTTTTAAAAATTTATAACAAATATTGGCTAAAAGTCGAAAAAGTCAACATTACTATTTGAAACTTCATTTCCCAATATTTTATTTAGATATTGGAATATGTGGAATGGAGGATTTACAGTTGGATACTTCCAGAAGGGTTGGAATTGATCGAACAGACAATGTGGGCCCAGATGAGAACCAGGCGATCGTGTCCGTCCGATCTCATTGAGTGTAAGAACCGGACATGATTTCTACTAGCGTTCTATCTCATTTATATTGGCTTACTTTCTTTATTCTTTTATCCCAATTATTATATTGGCATGTTTCTTTATTGAGTTTGTTTTGTTTGTTTACCAAGGCACCATTTGATAGGCACCAATTTTCTAGGGAAAATGGAATTAGAATGCCAATTTCCAAATTTTGTGTGTTTGATAGTGTTATATTTTTCATAGAAATTAAATTCTTGAATTTCTTATGAATTGTAGTTTTCTAGCTTTCGTGGTAGTTGACTTTTTTTTTTGGTAATGGAAACAAATTCTAAAAATTATTGTAAAAAAAATATTTCTCTTTAATTGACAATTTTCATGTAAAACAAAGTGAAACGAACATTAAAAAATAAATAATTTTCTTGAATTTTTTTGTTTTGTTTTTGTTTTTGTTTTGGCGATGGAAAGAAATTTCGTCTCCAATATCAGTAAATTTCATCCCTTAAATTGACAATTTTCATGAAAAATAAAGTCAAACGGACACAAAATTACACTTTTATTTCAATATTTTTCACGTGAAAAATTATACTAATCAAATACAATAATTTACAATTCTTAGGAAAACAATTTCCAGGCAATTTAATTCCCTAAAATTCATTTTCTTTCCACCCAAATTCTATCTTTATAATCAAATGGACCCTAATATACTTTTATTTAATTTGTCTAATTATAATAATTTTTTTTCACTCAAATCTTAAAATTGTACAAATATAAATAAACGTAAGCTAGGAAAGTTATTGGAAAAAATTGTTTTTTCAATAACATTAAGCCCCCGTTTGTTTCTTATTTTTTGTTCATTAAAATGAAAAATATGACCGTTATCCATCATATCAAGTTATCATATTTGACTTTCTATCTTTTATATGGGGCCCGTAAATATTATATTTTTCATTCTAATTTTTACATTAATGGATACCAAACGGGGCCTAAATTTCTCTTGTATGAGAGATAGACAGAAACCCAGCGTTTATAAAGGCTTTACTCCATCACTTTGAAGAACAAAATATACAATTTCTGAAGATAGCGAAAATACAATATCACTTCCAAAATCTTTGGCCAATAAATTCAAAGAAATCTCCACCAACTTGTCAAAATAATCTTTGATTTGAAAGATATTTTAACCTCTATAAATTGAGAAATGCCAATGGACTCCAAAGTTGCTCCTCAAAGCGAACAATTCAGTTTGCAGCAGCGATTTTCCATAACTTGTACAATCCGTTCGTGTGACATTCGTATCTAATGGGAAAAACTACAAGAATAATCCAAGAAAATATCAAATGAACAATGGAATTGCAGAAATAATGGGAGGAGTGAATTGGGTTGTTGGATTGGTTGATAGCAACTGTGTCCCGACGCAGTGGGATGGACTGTGGCTTCATAAATTGTGGCGAGCCATTTGAAAATGAAATGGTGGGCATTTGATTTTTTATATAAACAACTTTTCAAGAAAAAAAATTCTTTTTTTTTTTTTGGTTGTTTTAATTTAATTTATATGGGATTGATGAAAACATCCTTTCTTAAAACAGCCCTGCTATGTGTACAAACAGGCTTCATACAGAAATTTGTCAGAACACACACATAGGGGGTGCATGGGGATGTTTTTTGACAATTTTTTATTCACAGTGTATTCCACATATGAGAGTAATTTGGCCAAATTCTGTGAAAAAATTTATGTACAAATGGCTTAAGTGTTCTTAAAATGGTCAAAATATTTAATTTTTTACATTTTTTAGGCTAACTAGCGATCAATTGGATGGAAACCGTCTATTTGGACTTCTACCACATATTTCTAAAAGGTAAGGGACCTTTGCTGGCACAACTTAAAGGTTAAGATAAAGTTTACAAAAATTGAAAAGGTTAGTGACCATTGTTGCAATTTTTCTTTGAAAAAACATCCAGAAAATTTAGGCTAGAGCCTCATTCTCGGGAGAATGGATTTTGTAATAGTGATTTTTTGAAAAATATATGATTAAAATTTAAAATAAATTTTGAATTTACGTGCAAAATTATTTTATTGAAAGAAAGCATTATTAAAAATGATTTGAGAAAAAAAATGAGTTTTTATATATTGGAGTTCAAACAGGGGCTTAATACTATATTTGACCCTAATTTACTATATAGAAAAATAAATAGTGGCGATAATTGAAGAGATGGCTCTTCGAAAGGTTTATTGTTTGTTTATGAGAACAGATGTCATTAGGGGTGGCAAATGGGCTAAAAGGCTCACCCGCTCGGCTCGTGAAAACGGAGCTCGTGGGTAACTCAGGCTGGTAAAAAAAAAAAGCTTGAGCCGAGTGGATCGGCCCGTTTGGTGAGCCAAGTCAACTCAACGAGCCGCTCGTGGGCCATTTGCCACAAGCGTGGCTCGTTTACGAGCTCGTTTTAACAATAGCTGCTCGTGGCTCATCTTGAACAGTAACCAAAAAGTGATAGTTTTGGTCACTTTTTCCACAACTCAGTGATCGACACGATTACTGAAATTATTATTATTATTATTATTTCCTTCTTCTCTTCCCCCCTTCTATAAATAGCCTTACAATTGGCTCAACATTTTTCATCAACTCTCTCAACTCTCAAGTCTCATTATCTCAAGATTCTCAACACTCTTTCTCTCAATCTCTCTTTTCCTCTCAAGTCTCAATTGATTTGTCTCAACTCTAATTAATCTACAATTATACAATATAGCCATATTATATAGATTCATTTTTACAATCTAATCATCTTCAATTTTAATCTATTTTTAAAATTCAATCATCTTCCTAATCATCTATATTGTATCTTCACAATTCACAAATTGAAATAAATCCACGCTCATTTGTCGAGGGTTTATTCGGTGCCGGAGGCGAATCACTTGCGATGCTGGAAATTTAATATCGAAATCAATTTATCAATCCAAATGAAGTACCAATTCCTGAAGCTATTCCACATTTCAATTTAGGAGCAAACCCCAGCAATAATCCAATTGATTTGGATGAAATCGATATTCCCGAAGCCCAAGAGGGGGAGGAACCCGAATTAAACATTCTCGATGCTAGAGAGAAGCGAAAGGAAAAAAAGGCAAAATACTGGGATCACCTTAAATTGGTTTCGACGGGCCGTGTTGTCAATGGAGTTCCAAAGTCCAATGCAGAATGTAAATACTACCAACAGCATTGGCATGACAAAAAGGTATTAGTACCACTCACCTCAACCGTCACTACAAAGCGTGTGCGGCTAAACATGGACTTATTCAAGCCTATCAAACACAACTGCGATTTGGTAGTTCAGGCACCGGTACTACAACTTCGCCCATCATCACGTGGATGTATTCATATGAGAATGCTCGAACAGGAATTGTGAAACTTATTGCTGGCGCTAAGCTGCCTCTTGTAATAGCGGACAACCAATATTTCCTCTCATATGTGAAAGAATATCTTCAACCGATTTACGTTAGAGTAAGTCGAAACACTCTTCGTTCAGACACAGAGTATTTTCTTCAAATAAAACAACAATACAAAAATTATTGAATTCCCACATAACGCTAATAACATATATAATCGATTATGATTATTATTAAAGAATATCGTTGCGAAAGTAAAATTCGTTCTTTAACATTCGACAATACTAATGTTAATAAAATAGTTGTCGATAAATTGTGTAGGGTACTGCGGCCTAATTTCGGTGGTTAATTGTGAAAGATGGTTTGAAACACATTAAAGATGAAATACAAAAAATTAGGAATGCACTAATATATATCATGATATCCTCTAATAGAAAACAAGCATCTGATGAATTTTGTATTGAATTTGGGGTAACGAATTCTAAAATATTTGTTAGTGACGTAGGTCATAGATATAACTATACTTATTGTTAAAGTCATGCGAACGTTTTGAACATTTAATAACTGAGTTTTATAACAATAGGCATATTAGAAACGACATATTAGGGCATATATATATATATATATATATATATATCGAAGGATTTGAAGCCCTAACTCAGAAATTCCTACCTGTAAGAAGAAGAAGAAATCTGCAAAAGTCGCTTCTAGTGGTGGTCAGTGGCATGGCAGTGCTGTGCTTCTCAGTGTTTTTTTTTTCAAGGTCATGACAACCTTATTTTTGCCACCGAGACAGTTCAATGTTTGGTAAGCTTTAGGCAATTAGTTGGAGAATTTTGGATGTTAATTTTGTGGCTTTTATTAGCTCCTTTTGCTGGATTTGAATCAATCTTTGGTCAATTGTAGTGTCTGAAAAATAGGGTTGCTTATAATTGTTTTCTTTAATTCCAAACGACAAAACTAATGTGGCAAAATGGAAATATGGTAAATATATATAGCTAAAAATATTCACTGGAATCTCAATCTTCTAGCCAAGAATATAGCTCAAAAAAATTCCCTATAATCTCAATCTAGTAGCCAACAATCTTACTGTAAAATGAATTTTGGGTTGCAATTTGTTCATTCTAGCTCGTAGCTAATTTTAGTTTTTAGGAAATGTAACTACCATATGCAAAATATAACATGTAATGAAGGTGAATAATTAGTCATTGTCATGATTTTTGCTGATTGTGTATTTATAGCTCCATTTTATCGACTTCTACTTCTTGGGTAACATATCTTCTCACAAAGGTTTTTATTATTATTTCATGTACGTGTGCGTTCATATGATAGTGCAAGGTTGTTCGAATATGTCCAAGTGTGGGTAATTCCATTTTCATTTTACGAAATGTCTTTGCATTGCTTAGAAATAGTGTCGTAGATGTCGAACTTCAATGTCTCATGTGTACATTTCAGCGGATTGCTGAAGTGTGTAGATTGCTTGAATTGTCGTTTTCGATGGTTCAACTTTGTCAATCTCGACAGATGGACAGAATCTCAGGCATATGTTTAGATTAACCGTCGGTATCGACAGATGAACTATCAATACCGACGACTGATGTCTATTTTTCGTGACAGTTCACCTTAATACAAGCATAAGTTCGATTCATTACGTGTTACATTTCTATGTTTTATCATGATTTAATCCGTGTTTTTCTCGTTGTACCTTGTAGGAGAAATGGAGTTTGAATTCCTCGTTTCTAAAAATGCCTGGTGTCTAATTTGCTAGAAGTTGATCTATTGTTTCTTAGTTTGAATGTTGTAATACGATAACTGAAGATCAGCAGTGTGGGGTTAGTGCATAGTGAATGCATGGATTTGCAAATAATAAATTGTTATGTATACTATAATTTATTTTGTAATGAAGGCACGAGCACGTTGTGCAGGAGTTCCTAGTTTACTTGGACCATATTTTCTTCTTTCCTGATCAATTACAAAGTCGTTCGTCAATGATGATTGGGTTAAAATGACTAGCCATTAAAATTTTTCCATTTCACGAAACCATGCTACAACTAATTCACAAGGACGTTAATGTGAGTTTTTTTTATTGGGTTAAGATGATGAGTCATTTTTATAATTATGCCATAGTCATGACAACCATGTTACAGCTAATTTACAAAGTGCATAATGTGAGTTGCAGGAAACTTGAATCCATTGTTCACATGATTTAAGAGTCACAATATCCTAGAAATTATGTGGAAATAGGGGATAAAGGTACAATTATTTTATTGAACCATCATACCAACTAAATTTAGATGAGATTAGACTTTGTGGTTAGGTAGTAAATGACCATAATTGCTTCCTCCCTTCAAGTTGATTATAAATAACATGTTGTATTGTCAGTTACACATAAAGCACTTCATAAGCATTGAGAGACTTTCAAGTTCTCACATATACAAATCGTTTTATCAATTGTATTACGTCAACATAATGAGTTCATTCATGGGAAGCAACGAAACGTTCAAGCTGATCGAGCCTTTGTGAGTTCTCAGCTCATCCCAGTTATTTCCAATCTACATTTTCGTAATAATACTATTTAATAGTAGCGGTGTTTATCATTTATGCGTCACTTGAGTTTACTATTTACAATTTAGAAACTACAATTTAGTTGATGGGGATTAAAATTATCATTTTGAGCGGATTGTGATAGAAGGTTTTGATGCAGTAGGTTGAATTATTTTGAACAAGCATATATTTGGAGGGCCTTTTATATGTTTTCAAAGAATCAGCAATTTAAATTTTTCGACATGTTTTATACATTCCATATGTTGACAGGTAGATCGATGTAGTACCAAAAAGGGAAAGGGTGAAATGGTTTTTAGGTATCCAAATCGACAATTAAATTATCTATCCAGACAATTATTAAATGTCGAGTTCGACAGTTAAAATGTCTAACCCAACGGTTTCAAAGATACTATTTGATAGTTGAATTGCCATAATTTTTGGAAAAGCTTAAAAACATGTGTTTGATTGTTTGGAAGAAATTATTGAAAACATCAATGGTGATAATCAATTCTCAACTACAATCTTCCCACAAATAAAAAATGAATAACTCAATACTTCATTAAATATGGAATTTTTCACATTTTCTAGAGGATGTTTGTATTTTTTTCCCTTAAAAAATATATCAAAAATAAAACACATCAATGAATAAGAGATTCAAAAAGACGATGTTGTATTAAACATTTAAAGTAGTTAGCTATGACATGAAAATATAATTTTTTTAGTAGCTCACCTTTGAAATTGATCAATAACTTTGCCTTGTTGATGATGGAATGAAGATAGTGAAGAAGAAGGTAGGGTTTATATTCATAAATGTTTTTGTGTGTGTGTGTGTGTGTTTATTATTATTATTTTTTTTTTTAAGTTTTCACCCCTTCTTTTAACAATAAAAAATATTATACAATATAATATGAATATCTTAAATATTTAAAATAAATAAAACAAATCATTACATCACACCATTAATTGCATTCAAATCAAGTATTTATTACTCCTAAAAAGGTGTCACAAGGGGATAAAATGGACATTTCGCAGAAAAAGTGACATTTTTGGAAGAAATAGGTGCAAATGAAAATTTTTTGTGAATTTTCAATTTTAGTGACATTTATGTAAATTGTCCATATATAATTTATTTCGAGGCATTAACACGTATAAGTATAATTCAAATGCGATAGGTTTATATTCATCTAGTAATTTTTTGTCTGTTGCATCTCCATCAGCCTAAACATCGGACGAAAGTGCAAAGACTTTGCCTACTGAATTAATTGATTACTTTAATCATAATATGCTTAGCAATAAAACAATAAAACAAAGTTCCAAAGATGTTATTGAATTCTGTTGGAGGTACGAACGAAGATGGCCAGTAGCTTCCGCAATTGCAAAAAATTTACTGACAACTCCGATTAGCATTCTAGCTTCGGAGTCTACTTTTAATACAGGTAAGAGGGTTTTGTCTGAGATCAGGAGCCGACTAAAAGAAGATATTTTATAAGTATTAATGTGCGTAAAGGATTGATAGGACGCTCATTTCCAAATATAAGATAAATATGCTGAAATTGCGTGTCGCCAAGTAAGAGATATTTAATTATACCAGTTTAATCAAAATTTGTTATTTTATAATATTATTTTTAATTATCTTTAAAAAATTGTACACGTTACAAGTTGTTCGTGTACAATTTTTAACTCCGCCTACTCAAAATTTAAGTTGTCGATTCCAAACCCGGATAAAGGAGGAAGGTTTATGTTTTATCTATTTTAAAAAGAAAAAGAATAAACAAATTTATCAAATCTTTTTGCTCAGTTTATTTATTTTTTTGGTTAAAAAAAAAACATAGTTTTTATTTTGTCTATTTTCAGCATTAAAAAAAAAATGACGAGCTTGTAGGTCGAGCCGAGCTCACCCCATGAGCAACGAGCCGAACCTTGTTTGTAACGAGCTCATGGTTGAAAGGGCCCTTGGCTCATTGCCATCCCTAGATGCAAGTAGAAGTAGCAAAGCGTGACTCATTCGAATTAGTAGAGCAGCATAAGACATATTTTCAATTGGCAACAAATGGGGCGATAATTGAAAATATAGATGTTTCGTTGCAAGAAGTCAGACATGGCTCGTGCTAATGAGCTCTCGTCAGAGGAACATAGTGATTTACGAGCTGGCCCCTTTTGCTTCTTTTTATTATTTCCCTTATTGATAAATTTAAAGTCAAAAATTAATTTTAACTACACCTTCAATAAAATTTACTTCATTTTTTTCTTTTTTCTTTTTTTCAATTTTCCAACCACAAATTTTATCAACTTTTATTAAAAAAACTACTAAAGATATGGCGTAACATCATAAAGAAATCAATGTGTTCGAAATGATTATGAAGACAATGTGCTAATCTCATCATGTTTGATCGATCGCCACACATAACATGCCTAATAGACAAGGATGTCTAGAATCCATTATGTTGAGAATAGAATGAAGATGAAATTTGTCAATTAGAAATATGAAATGACTTGGAATAGTAAGGAATGATACGACAATGAAATCTTGGGGAAGGGGGATATCAAATATGGTGAAATTGGTAGACGCTATAGGGATTGAGCCTTGGTATAAAACCTAGTAAGTGGTAACTTTCGTCTTGCTTTATGTATGTTAACACCGAAAATTGAAAACGTTTGATTAAAGATTAAAGCACACATTCGTAGGTACATCTATGCTTAGCATTTTGGTGTCTTATTTTCTCCTCCTCCATCCTCTAAGTTGCAATTCTCATGGTGAGAAATGTTGTTTATAATCCTACTTCGCAATGGTTATAAGCTTTCTTGGCGATATTCCAAGATAGAACTAATTTTTGTCAAGGGTTGTTTGACAAAACTTATTATAAAAGTTTTATCTGATTTTCATAAAAGTTGATATAATATGTGATTGAAAAAGTTGATAAAGATTATGGGTTTCATGAAATGTGGTTAAAATTGAAGGTTAACTAGTTAAAAAGTTGATAAAAATTTAAGCAAAGTTTTATCAAACTAACACTAAAGTTAATCCCATAATTACAAAAAACCTAGAATTGAAATTCTTATCTTTATTCGCAACACGGGGTCCAGCTTAGTCCGACAC